TTCTCTTTCTTTTTTTGTTATTTTCCACCTCTGGTTTTTCTCTGAGTGTTCGTCTTTTTGTTGTTGTCGGTCTCTTGGGGAGATTAAGCGTTGGAACTCGAACTCTCTTTTTGGGTGGAGAGAGCTGTGGCGTTTCCCTACTGCCCCGTCGCCATCTTGGTCCCCCCCCCCCCGTATGTGAATTTTTTAAGTAGCAAGTCCCTTCCTGACCTGGGTGTTCATCAAATGTCCCTCTGTCTTTGTCACATTGAAATTCACAGAATGCTTTTAATGAAGATTTAAATTGAAATACCCCTCAAAGTGAGCATTTAGGAATACAGATCCTCATAAAGCAGCTAACTGGGAGTTCTCAGTGAGAAGCCTCCAAGTTGTGTTCTCTGTGTGCTTGCCTAATGTGACTTGCTAAACAGAGTTTGCTTAACAAGTAATCACTCATCTCTTTCTTCTTCTATTTTTCTTTCTAGGTATTTCCACACAATATACTTAGGTATTCGGAGCCGACAGAGTGGGGAGAATGACAGATGGAGGTTTTACTGGAAAATGGTGTATGAGTATGCCGATGTGAGTATGCTGCATTTGCTAGCCACCTTTCTGGAAAGTGCTCCACAGCTGGTCCTGCAGCTCTGCATTATCGTACAGACCCATAGCTTACAGGCCCTCCAAGGTAAGGGCTTGCAATTTGGTTTCTGAATTTGGGGAAAGATTGAATGACTACTTTTGTCCCAATCCAAGCATTGTTGACACAGGCCTGCTCTATGTCTGCTGCTTAACACATGATTTGTGAATGAATGATGCATGTAATTTTCTTCACCGTCACTTGTCCTGAAGAACTAATAGAAAATTTATTTCTGCCCTCCAGATGCCCTCTTACTAGAGAATTAAAAAAAAATGCTTTACAATTTTACACTTGGTCAATATGCACATAGAGTCAAGGCTTTCTGGGTTTTATGACAGAATAATTCTCAAAAGTTACAAAGACAGCAATATGTAATCCATACCATTTCCTCCTTTTGACAATAAGAAATGGAACAAGAGTCAGGTATCAGTAGATCACATCTGTATTCCTAGCTATTCTGGAAGATAAATTTGGGAGGATGGTGATTCAAAGTCAAACAAATGAAAAAGTACATGAGACCCCACCTCATCCAATAAAAAGGAGTATGATAGTGTGTGACGAACCTCCAAAATATGGAAGAAGCATAAATAAGAGGATTGCAGTCTAGGCTTACTTGGGCAGCAATGAGACCCTATTCTAAAGTAATGAAGGCAAAAAGGTCTGGAGGCATGGTTTGAGTGGCTGAGTACCTGCCTAGCAAACAAAAGAAAGAGAGCAAGAGATTAAAAGGATTAAAAGGAGATTGTAAAGATTACTTTAACATTAAAAATAGAAGACTGTATGGAAAAATATCTATATTTAACAATATATTGATTACTTTTTAACATTAAAAAATAGAAGACTATGGAAAAATATCTATATTTAACAATATATTGGCATGCTACAGTTTTATGAAATGTGTACTATTATTAGGTGAATATGTTCATGTTTATTTGTTTAGTCATTTATCAGTGAACCTTTCCCATGTGGAATAGAGTTGACATGGTAGTTCCTCAGCCCATGCTAATCAAATTCATTTGAGAAAAAGGCAAAGCCATGCACTCATGGTTTATACTTGTAATCCCAGGCTACTCAGAAGGCTGAAATATAGAGGATCAAATTTACTGTTCAGCCTGAACAGTAAAGTCCAGTAAACTTCATCTCTGAAATAAGCACCAAAAAGCTAGGCTGGAGGTAGGGTTCAAGTAGTAGAGTGCCAGAGAAGCAAGCAAGTAAAGCAAGAAGCCCTGAGTTCAAACCTGGGTACCAGCACCAAAAACGGAAGGAAAAATATCAGAAGCAGCGAGACGATGAGTCAAGCTTGTAGGTAGAGAGGTAAATAAGTGGGTATAAGGAAGATAGTAAGAGGTCATTTCTAAATAAATGTTTCCTGGTTATTTTTCTGTCCTGTAACTAAATAGCTACTGTGAAGTGCATAACATTGCTATGCTTCAGTTATGGAAATCTCAGCAGAGGCTATGCGAGGCTATGTGGCCACTCATAACCACCAGGTTCTGATCACCCTCCAACATGACACTTGATCTGGCTGGTAGATGGAACCTCTACAATGTTCTTATAACTTATGCAGAATAGTTAGCTTTCTCTGGGTGCCTTAATTTGGAAGTAGAGGTCATGGTAGTTGTTATTAAAAAAACGGGGGGGGGGGAAGAAAGTGCTACACATGTAAAACTTGCTCTACTTTAAGAAAATAAGAGTGGATTCTGAGCCAAATAAACATATAGTGCCTGGCAAATGTTTGAATGAAGGCAACATCCAACTAAAATTACCTTAAAATACCTACGTCCATGATTAGAAGAGCTGAGTGTCTGCTTACTACAATTAGACAATCACCATTCCTCCTTTATCGACCGCCCCCTTCACCCCCAAATCCTAGGTACATGCTACAGACATCAGGAATTCTTTAGAAGAGAAAAACTTCAGATCAAAAGTGAGGGGCTGGGAAGGTGGCTCAGTGGTAGAGTGCTTGCCTTGCATGTTTGAGGCCCTGGGTTCGATTCCTCAGCACCACATAAGCAAAAAGAAAAAGCTGGAAGTGGTGCTGTGGCTCAAGTGGTAGAGCGCTAGCCTTGAGCTGAAGAGCTGAGGGACAGCGCCCAGGCTCAGAGTTCAGGGCCCACGACTGGACCCCCAAAAAAAAAAAAAGTGAAGGGCTGCAATTGACTACTCCATGGCCCAAACTTACCAAGGGTCTCTTCTGCTTTTCTTTCTTTCTTTTTTGAAAATTTTATTCTCATGGTGATGTATGGAGGGGTTACAGTTTCATAAGTAAGGTAGTGATTTCATTTCTTGTCTAACTTGTTAGCCTTTTCCTCATTTTCCTCCCTTTCCCTTCCTCCCCAACTCCCCCTACTCCAAGTTGTACAGATCATTTCTAACATATTGTCTTGTGAGTATCACTGTTGCATAGATTCCCCTTTGTTCTTTGTCTCACCATTTTGTTGTTCCCCTTCCCTTTCTTAGTTCAGATAAATGTATATACAATACCCAGGGTAGCAAATTTAATACAATGACAACAGGGGATAAACAATAGGGAGAAAAAAACACAAAAGAAAAAAAATCACATAGTACATTGAGAACAACAACAAAAAAGAAAAACCTCTTGTGTCAGTGTCTTGGAGTTCATTTCATTTCACATCATCTTATATGGTCATATGTATATGGCTATTGAGCTATTCTGCTCATCTGCTAAGATTATCCTAAATGTATACTAATTATTACAAATAAAGAAGACCTAAGGACCTATGTTCCTTTGGGTCTGGCTTACTGCACTTAATATGATTTTTCCAAGTCTTTCCATTTCCTGACAAATAGGACGGTGTCATTCTTTCTGATGGAGGTACAGAATTCATATATATATATATATATGTATGTATATATATCACATTTTTTGATCCATTCATCTATTGAGAGGCATCTGGGTTGGTTCCATATCTTAGCTATGGTGAAAAATGCTGTGATAAACATAGTTGTGCTGGTAGCTTTCATGTGGCCTTATTTGTGGTCATTTGAGTAAATGCCCAAAAGTGGGATTGCTGGGTCATAGGGGAGCTCTATGTGTAATCCTTTGAGGAACCTCCCTACTGCTTTCCAGAGTGGTTGAATAAGTTTACACTCCCACCAACAGTGTAGCAGTGTTCCCTTTTGGCCACATCCCTTCCAGCATCTATTGTTATTAAATTTCTTGATTATAGCCATTCTGACTGGGGTGAGGTAGAATCTCAATGTTTTGATCTACATTTCTTTTATGGCCAGAGATGTTGACCATTTCTTCCTGTGTATTGGCTATTCTTTTTGTTTATTTTTTATTTTTTCCCCTTCCCATCCCTTCCCATCTCCCACCCTCCTCCCACCCAGCTAAAGTTGTATAGTTTGTTTTTCAACATAAGGACTTGTACATCTCATTGTTGCAATGGTTCCACCTGTATCCCTGTTTAAACAATTTGTTTTTTCCCTTCCCCTCCACAAATTATACCAACATCAAATACAATGAAAGCAGGGGTTATACTGTGGGGGAGGGACATACAAAGCAACAAAGAAATCATCTTATAACTATGTTAGAAACAATTGCAAGAAGAAAAAAACATTTGAATACTTACCTTGGGATTCATTTTACCTAACATCAACTTATCTGACCTTTTCTGCTTGTCTCAGACATATACTAATTATTACAAATAAGGGAAACCATGGGACCTATGTTTCTTTGGGCCTGGCTTACTCCATTCTTACTTCCTCTTCAGAAAAGTTTCTCTTTAAGTCTGTAGCCCACTTACTAATGGGGTGGGTATTTCTTTGAGGATTTGTTTTTGGGGAATTTAATTTTTTGAGTTCTAAGTATATTTTAGATATGAGGGAGGCTCTTGTCTGTTGTATGGCTAGTGAAGATTTCTCCCAATCTGTAGGCTTTCTACTGATCTTATTTAGCTATGTCCTTTGCCATGCAGAAGCTCTGAAGTTTAATTTAATCCTGTTTGTCCAACCTTTCTTTGATTTGCTGTGTTTCTGGGTCTGAAATTTACTACTGGTTTTCTAAAAGACTTAGAATAGCATAGAGAAGATAATGGCAATAAAGGGAAAAAGGCAAGAAAGTTTAAGAAAATAAGATCACTTTTTCAGTTTGAGATTTATGTAAAATTTCAGGGAGAGGGAGAACTCGGAAAGGTAACTCTTCATCTTCATCAGTTTATTTATCCGAAGCATTGGAGTAAGGATTTGTGTTCCTTAAGCCTGGTGATCTAAGGATCAAGGTTCAAAGCCAGCCTGGGCAAGAAAATGTATGATACTCTTATTTCCAATTAAAATACCAAAAAAAGGCAAAAGTAGAGGCGGTAGCCTTGAGTGACAAAAAACTCAAGGACAGCATCCAGGCCTTGAGTTCAAGCCTAAGGACCAGCACATGTGTGTGAGTGTGTACACACACACAAATATGTTCCTTTGAATATGGCATTTCCAATACATGTTATACCAGGCATACTAGGACTTCTATTCTGGGACTCAACACTGGCCAAAGCTAAGGCTGACAAATTTCAAATTGCTGTAGGAAAACTGACCTTTATCTCATCCAAAGATCAGAAAAAATCAATGCTAGTCATTGTGCACAGATGAAGAATAAACCCACTAGGTTGATCTTATTGTTTCTTGTTTCTTGATGAGGGAAGTGGGGAGAAGGTTATGTTATAAGACCAAAGGATAAAAGCAAACCACAACAACAAATCCTCTAGAAAAGACCACCTCAGACTCCACTTTCTGATTCCAAATATCCCTCTGCTGAAGAAATATCCCACCTGCAATGAAGCCACTTATGAATTAAATTAATGTAGGTTATATAGATGAGCTTTTCCCTCTAGGAAAAGAAAAATAAATATGATAAAGGAGCTTTGTTTGACATCTATTTTCACACATATTTAGTGACAGGAAATTCTTTGGATTTAATTGTAAAAGCACAACTCCTTGCTCTGAATGCAAATAATCCATAGGCATGAAACCTGTTAGTTATCTGCCAGTCACTCAATATTAGAACCTCTAAAACATTCTTTTTTATACTAATGTTT